GGTTGTTTTCTGCACATAAAAGGCTAAAAAGAAAAGATGCAGAGAAACTGTTTCAAAAAAAAAAAAAAAACACTAAAAGAAATAGAAACACACCAAGCAACCAGAAAACCACACTGAAATTGGACATGGTGGCACATGCCTACAATCCTAGCAATCGTGAGGTGGAGGGTCATTTCTAGTTACAAGTATTTAGTTGGTGGATAGACCCCACAAGAGACCCTTTCTTCAAAGACCAACAAACAAAAAGCACAAATTAAAACTGCGGTTTAGTGGTAGAAGACCGATTACAGCCCTGAGAGAAGGCGCCAGGAGGATTGGGAGCTCAGGGCCAGCCTTAGCACAAGTTAAAGACCAACCTAGGCTACTTTATCTCTAAAGCAAAACAGAGAGGCAAGTTGGTCATGTGAAAGTTACTGGCTTTGTAACACATGGGGGACAAGGAGACCGAACAGTAGGAAACCGGCTTCTCTACTAGCATTTGGTTACCTTTTCTTTGGAAGGATTAAGCAAAGGAACATCAATCATTGTTATAACCGAAGCGAAGCAAGTCTGTATGAGAAATTTGACTGCCCCTCTTTAACTTTAATCCTGAGTCCTTAGAAGTTCAGATGAGTAGGTTAAAGTTTTTGTTTTTTTCTTTTTGGAGAAAGAGCAGAGGGAAATTGTCATGCAAGTCAGTAAGCCATGGTGCCTCACACTGAAGGCTGAATGTGCCTAGCTAAGAGGAAAGCTTCTTAGATCTTTGTCAGTAGGGATGATGGTGCCTTCTCCAGCAAGAGCCCTACTCAGGATTGAGCAGGAGAGCAATCAACCTGAGTGTGAAGAGCTGCGGGTTCCAGATGCAGCCACTGCTTTCCGTTGTCTCGCTTTCTCCCAGTGGGGACCTCACCACTGCTCAACAAGCTAAGAGCAAGGAACCCAGTCCATTGGGTTTTCATCCCAACCTGTTGGAGCCTAGTGATGGAATTAAGTCCAAAACAATGGTTTCCTGAGTGGGTAGGGGTATGCTTGGTGGTAGAGACATTGCCTATCAGACACAGAGTCCTTCTTTGAGACTTACAATAAAAAATGAATACTTTTTTTTTAAATTTCAAAACCAAGCAATGGTCTACTGTAAGCTTTATTTTCAAAGGAGAGAGAAATAGTCCATAAATGATTCTGCCCAGCAGCAAACAAGGCCATGGAGAAACAGGCAAACTGAAATCATAGGCCCGGACACGGGCCAGGGAAGCAGAACAGCGCCTTGCTCAGCCATCATCAGAAAAGCTTCCTCCTGCAGCAGATGGGAACAAACACAGAGACCACCCAGACGATGTACAGAAAGTAAGAAACCCCGGAAGACTCAGCCCTAAATGAGATGTCTCCATCAAATCCCTCCCCTCAGGACTCAAAGAATTCGGTGGAAGAAGCGGCAGAACATATGTAAGAGCCAGGGGAGACGGAAGTCAGCAAGAAATCAAGGCCTTCTAAACACAACATGACAACATATATGAACTCCCAGAGACTGAGGCAGCAGCAGGCACAGGGCCCGCACAGGGTCTGAACCAAATGGGGTCCTAGAGCTGAGAGAAGTGTGCACAAGCCCTCATCCTTATCCCAAAGCTATCCCCAATTGATAACCATGGACAAATAAAAAAAATAGTTTTCTTTAAGGGAGTCTTAGGGTGAAACAAACTACTCTTAAATACAGGTCCCTGCCCAGCAGTAAACGGCCACCAGGAAACAAAACCCATGGCCCCTTGTTGGCTCTTCATCTCAGGATGCTGTCTCGGGAATTTTTCCTTTTCTTCTCTCCTTCCCTCCTTCCTTCCTTCTTCCTTCTTTCCTTTTTTAACCTTACAGGTTCCTTACAGGTATATTATGGCTTCTCATTTTGTGTTTTTATGGGACTTTTATGTGTATGAACGTGTCCCACTGTATCTGTATGTGTGTCTTGTGCTTCTCCTTTGGCTCTGTTTCTGTTTGGTTCTTTTGTCCTATTCTGATTTCTTTGTTTCTGATTTATCTTACTGTATTTCAGATGCTCTTTTGTTTTCTAACAAAGAGAAAGGGAGTGGATCTGGATTGGCAGAGGAGCTGCCAGGAGAAACTAGAAGGAGGTGGGGGAAAGGAAACCATAACCAGAATATATTGTATGAAAAAAATCTATTTTCAATAAAAGAAAAAGAAAAAATTGCAGGCCTGGTTTAAAGGAGTAATCATTGTTTAGGTGCCAACAATTACTTAGTTTATAAATATGACTCTCATGAGATTGTTTTATACAGTTCTTAATAAAAATTTGGAAATTTGTTGGACAATGGTAGCACTTAGCTCCAGCACTTTAGAGGTAGAGGCAAGGGCAAGTGAGACTCTATGAGTCCAGAGTCAGCCTCATCTACAGAGCAAGTTCCAGTACAACCAGGGCTATGAAGAGAAACCCTGCCTCAGAATCCTATCTCCCAAAAAAGAGAACTTGGAAACTTAGACATTTGCGAGCATTTTGTTTAACTTTAAAAACATGATCAACCAGGCTTCATTTTGGAGGTAGACATAGAAGGATCAAAAGTTCAAAATCATCCTTACCTTCATAGTGAGTTTGAGGCCAACCTGAATTATGTGAGACCCTGTCTCAACTAACAAAATAAATAAGCAGACCATCAGTCATGGTGAGGTCACTCAAGGATGGCTAAAAGCGTAGGGTAGAAGGTTCTTAGGCAGCACTACAGAAGTGTTTAAAATACCATCATCCCACAGATGACTTCATAACCACAAAAGGAAATGACATCTTGACAATGGGGCAATCTGGAATATACCACTTTGACCGCGTGATCAAACTTCTTGTGACCTATACCAATAAGGAAAGAATCTGACATTCTAGTTCCTTGGGAATGTCAATGGGACATACAGGAAGATTTCCAAAATTTTAAAAAAAAAATCTATTTACAAAAATCTCACCATGATATAAACAGCAAGAAAAATCGAAACTAATGGGATTTTCTAGCAAACAGCCAAACCAGATACTATAAACACTATAAAATGACAGAGCTATTCAACAATATGGGACACTTCTTCAGATTTAAAGGGACTAAAGGACTTGATAAGCAAATGACTGATTCTTCAATGGGTTTGAGTTAGGCATGGTGACATACCCCTTTGATCTCTGCTCTTGGAAGACAGAAGTAGGAGATGCTCTATGAACTCAAGCAAGCTCTATAACAGCCAAGACTAAATAGAGAAATCTTGTCTCTTTAGAAGATAGGTAGATAGATAGATAGATAGATAGATAGATAGATAGATAGATAGATAGATGATAGAAAGATAGAATTGGTGAACATGCTCATACACATATTTCTGGAGAAATAAAGAAACCTGAATGTGGACAACAGGGAATATGCATGATATTGAATTTTACAACTTTGATAAATATGTGGAAATTGGAGATAAGATTTCCTTTGTCTTGGGATTTACATGGTAGCATTCTTTTGTTTTTGTTTTGTTATTTGTTTGTTGTTTTGATACAAGATCTCACATAACCCAAGCAGGACTCAAACTCAAATGGAGCCCAAGTTGGCCATAAATTTCTAGATCCTCCTGCTTCCAACTTTTGAGGACTAACTATGGTTACAGGAATGTGCCACCATGCCTGGCACTCCTGGATCATTAACATCAAGGTAACCTGATGTTTGAAACTTGCTTTCAGTAGGTTGAGGGGTGGGGGAAAAGGAAAGAAAGGTGCCAGGGAATAAGTCATCAGCTGGATATGCTTGTGATTGCCACGCCAGCCTTGAAGATCTGACTTCAGTCTCCAGAAGCCCCATGAAAAGCTGGACACCGAGATGTGCATCTATGATCCCAGCACGCCAAGGAGAGATGGTTGGAGAACAGAGGCAGTGACAAGTCCACAGGACAGCTGACTTGGAGTACTCAACCCCATGGAAACAAGACCATGCCTTAACAAAATAGAAGGTGAAAACTCACTCATAAAAGTTATCTTCTGACTGAGCAGTGGCATGCTATTAATCCCAGTGCTTGGGAGGCAGAGGCAGGCAGATCTGTGAGGCTGAAGCCAGCCTGATCTACAGAGCAAGTTCTCTGTATACAGAGAAACTTTGTCTTGAAAACCCAAAAGGAGAAAAAAAGAAAGAGAGAGAGGGGAGAAAGAGAGAAAAGGAAGGAGGAAGGGAGGAAGGAAGGGAGGAATGGAAGGAAGGACATAGGGAGGGAGGGAGAAAGGAAGGGAGGGAGGGAGGGAGGGAGGGAGGGAGGGAGGGAGGGAGGGAGGGAGGGAGGGAGGGAGGGAGGGAGGGAGGGAGGGAGGGAGGGAGGGAGGTTATCTTCTGGCCTCCACATACGTGTTACACAGTTCATGTACGCACATGAGTGAGCTTGCACACTCGAGTACAGACACAAATCTCATTTTTAAAAATGAAAACAAAAATAACATATAAAATTAAAAGGAGATAAAAATGATAATAAATGTAACAAAATAAATAATAGTGATGGTATAGACTGTGATGACTGTCCTTAAAGAATCGTATCATTGTATTTACTTGTTTGTTCACTTGTTTTTTGAGATAATGTTTCATGTTCCTCAGGCTGGCCTCCTTATATACCTGAGGATGATCTTGAACTTGTGATCTTTCTGCCTCCACCTCCCTAGAACTCGGTTTACGGCTATGCAACGCCAAGCTCAGCAACAGTTATGCCCTTTTACAGTCTTCATCAGAATAGAAGGCATGGAGACTGAGAAGGGACTGACAGAAGAGCCTACAAGCCTGAGAGCCCGTGACTCAGACCTGCTTGCCTGCAGGCATCCTGCTTCTTCATTGCTCTGCATCTAACCTCATCACCAGTTCCCAGCCCCAACTCCGCGCATGCTCTGCAGAAGACACAGCCTCCAGCATCTTGACTCTTTCAGCCAACCCCCCACCCCCTCCACCCCCCACCCCCCCACTCTCACCCCCCCCCCCCCACCCCCCACCCCGCTTCAGAACCGTGTCATCTTCTAAAATACCATTTACCTTGTAATCCCTTGCTCTCCAGTCGCCAGAGGAAAGTCCACGTTGATTGACATGCAAATCGAGTGACTTTCACAAGCAGTCTCCCCACTGCAAGTCACCTCCACCCTCTAATAGTCTTTAGGCACAGCCTTTAAACTGCTTGCTGGTCGCTACACGCATTCTCTTGCTCAAGCTGATCTCTTTGCTAATGACAACTCACTTTCTCTTAATCTAGCAAATCCCTATTCGGCACTCAAAACCACAGTGAAAAAAA